GATAGTCGATATATATATATATATATATATATATATATATATATATATATATATATATATATATATATATATATATATATATATATAATATAAAATATAAACATAAAAGTCAACACTTAGAGGCGACAGTCTGTTTCATACTAGATGCAATCATCAGGTTTGACATACCTGGCGGACTTAAGCAAGTGGATGAGAGAACTTGGTCTGCGGGAGGAAGCAGAGGGAAGGAACTTGTTGAGAGCTGAAAGGGATAGAGGGAGGTGGAGAGTCATGATTGCCTACGTCCTGAAAGGACATGGCACATAAAAAGAAAGATACACCTTGTACTAATCGCGAGAGCCACGCGTAGTAGATGGCTTCAGAGTAAGAAACACAGTTTTATGCGGATATGGGAGAAGGAAGGAACAGTCAACCCTAGATGTTGGCTTCGTTTTAAATCTTTTTGAGAATCGGGACATAATATGTCGAGTGTGTGTATGTGTGTGTATTTTGATTATATGCCTCCCAAGACATTGCTCAAAAACGTATTGTTTTTAAATGTATCAAATAGCTTTTTTTTTTGCTTTTTTATGTAAGGATCTTCATGTACAAGGCACGAGAGCTACTCAAGGTAGAGGGTTACGGAAGGAATGACGTTGGTTCGCTGCAATATGCATAGCCTGAAGGTTCCTCGCCATGAAGGTTTGGTGGAACTAAGGAATGTAGTTTGCCTAAGCACTTTCCATGGAAGTAGCAACAGAGCAGTGAGAGGCTGTTATCGTTTCGTCTGTGAGGGAGGGGTTACAAAATAATTTGCCACCCACAATGACGGAGAGATGTTTTTGAAATCTATCAAGACAGGAAATTAAGGACTGAGCAGCTCCTATCGAAATATAACAGCAATCTTCCATACATGTCATGTTCTTAAAAAACCTCATCAGACTGGGTCTTTCTAATGGAAGCCATGCTTAGAAGCAAACCCATTCACAATTATCTAAACTGTCATCTGTATAAAACCCTTTTCTAAGATCAATGTTTAAGAAACGTCTTTGATCGAGTGAATCCTTTAGGTGCTTGGCAGTGACCACACACCTTCGAATCTTTGAATTGGCGCTACAGAATCATGAACAAAGGACTGTAACAAATAAAAGTAACGACGTCACTTGAGGATTTTCAACATTAGCAACATCTAAAATGGATATCACATATAAATTGAAGGAAAAATAATGACATAATCAACATTTTGATATTCCATACTGCTTCTAATAATAGGTTCGAAAGGAAACCCCAACAATACTGTAAAGGGCGATAACAGCTACTGAACGCGAGGAAACCTGTTCTCTTGAAAATTGTTTTAAGAGAAAGAATTTATAAATTTTAACCGACATCAGCACTGGCTGTTCAGTTAATGAATGCCAAATGTTTCCTTATAAGGAAACGGCAATTATCACCGTTAATATTACTATATGCGGTGTTTCTTTTAGACATCTAAATTCTGCAGTGTTATTCTTTGTGTTGTATTTGCATTTCATTACATAGAGGTCAGTGAGCAGACTTTTCCTTTTATAGAGCAATTTTAAAATTGTAATATTTCATTTGCAGCGACAGACATGAAATGTTTATTAATAAAATGTATTAATATAATTTTTTTTTATTTTTTATCTTTCCAGGTAAGTGAATTCTTAACAGTTTTGGTCTGTTGACGGGTGAGTTCTTTCTTTCTTTTTCTGTTTTGAAGTGAATCTCCAGAATATGATGTTCACAGGGTAGCGGTTATCGGTGGGGAATGTGGGATTGCGGTGTCATATTCACATTCCAGCCAACGCCATTGCATGCGCGTTTGTAAAAAAAAATAATCCGTGCAAAGATATGAATCCAAAGTTTCGCCTCCAGCTATGGGTTAAATAGGAGAGTAAATTAAGCTCTCTAGCTTCGTTTAGAAACTAGTTAAGAAGAAGTATTAAAGAAAGTTCTATTGAAAGCGAGGCTAGAAAATCCAACACATAAAAAAAAACAACAAACATACTTACTACAGAAATCAAAGCTGCAACACCGAACATATTGCGAATCTGGCAATATACTCCACAAGGGAATATACATGTTTAACACCCGCCACACCTATATATATATATATATATATATATATATATATATTGTTATCCACAGACAGACTTTCGCTGTATCAAGCTCTAGCTGTGGCTAGACGTCCGGTTGCGTCTAGCTAGGATCGAAACCCGCTTGAATTGGCGTCAGTTGGAGATTCTACCCCTAACCGCGGCAGGAATGAAGGTGAATTTAAGCGTATTTATTTTTAGATGAACACACAGTGACTGAAAGAATTCGATCCGATTTTATTCTTGCATTTATATATATAAATATTATATATATTATATATATATATATATATATATATATATATGTATAGTTTATGCAAAACTAGGTAATCCGTATGGGTAGACCCAAGGAGGATGATATCCAGAGAGCTCAATGTAAATTCAGAGCAAATAAATTTGAATAAAAACAGACCACTTTAAGGTTCCATGTAATAAATTATTTCACCACAACCCTTTTAAAGGGATCTGGATCATCAGACTTTGCTTCCAAAGGTTTCATTTCAAGTTACTTTGGAAGTAAAGTCTGTTGATCCAGAGCCATTTAAAAGGGCTGTGGTGAAATAATTTATTACATGGAACCTAAAGTGGTCTGTTTTATTCAAATATATATATTTTATATATATATATATATATATATATATATATATATATACTTAAATAGAATGAACGTCATTATTTTTATATTATATTATTTTTTTTTTACCTTAAGGGGACCCTTTCGGCCAAGATTTTTGTCAAAAGGTGAATGTTGACAAGTAGCAGGAAACAATCAAAAACACATTAATAAATAGCGAATGTGGAGGGGACAATTAGATTTCGATTAAATTAGATTCTAATTATAAATAAATTAATGACTAAAAACAAAATACGAAGTTTCAAAATCAGTATAAAATGGAAAACTTTACTCATTACCCCCAACCAAACGTTAGGAACGAATAAAGTGTTCATTTTCTTTACATAGGCTCGGCTGATGAGACTTAATATAAATAGTCTCAAGAATTTGAAGATGGTGAAGTGAGTGAGCACTGTGTAAAATGTAAAAAAAAAAAAATGCATCATTATAATCGGCGGCACAATCGGGATTGTCCAGTAAATGCTGCCCAATGGTGGAGTCATACACTGCCTGAATGGTTCTTTTAACACGACTCTAACTACTAGAATGCAAATAGCCAGGCACGTGTTGCGTGTTACGCGTTTCCAGCCATTGATTGATTCGTCCTATATCCACCGCGTCACAACGGCATTTAAATTTATATATTACTGAACTATTCTGAAAATAGGACAACCAATTCTTGCTGAAGGATGGAAACGCGGATCTCGTCTGGAAAAAATATATATAATTATTATGAAAACGGAAACTGTAAAAGATCATGGTAATATTTTATTTCGTTAAAACCGATACTACAGTTTTATCTCATCATTATTTGCTTTGTTATTGCATTGTGCTCTCTCTGGATCTATATCCATAAGGATTACGAAATTATATCATATATATATATATATATATATATATATGTATGTGTGTGTGTGTGTGTGTGTGTGTGCGTGTGGAGGATAACCGAATAAGCGAAAATCAGTTCGATGTTTTAATTTGCATTCTGTTGTAAACGTTTCGTTCAATAAGAGCATCATCAGAACAACTGAAAAAAATAAGTAAACATTATTACCATGGCGACTTTGCTACATAGTAGAGCTGTGGTTAATTTGAACCTTTTTTGAGAATTTAATAATTAATCGAATTAATTAGAAATAATTATTTGTGAATAAAATAAATAATTGAAGAAATCTATGAAATATGTAGATAATAAAATCTTAAAATAACTTAAAAATATGGTGACGGAAAATAAACGAGGTTTATGGAAACAAAGATAAATAGAGTTTAGTGATTTTCCAAGCGTAGCTTAGATGTGGCACAAGGCCGAAAGTATGGGGCACCCAGTGAGGATTGAACTCACTACTCAGTCGTAATTGTTCTAGCGAGACAAGCTTGCTAACAATTACACCACCTCGAGGTGTCCCCCCCCCGCATAAAAAATAAATAAATAAAGTATGTCCAAAGAAAATAGACAATGAATATAATTCAAATTATAAATGATGATAACATTACTTAAATTTTAAATATAAGAAACTTTTAATAGCTGCAGTTTTGGTCATCCAAAAACAAATCCCAAAAATCATTTGAAGTGGATTCTGAAGTTGTTGAAGAAATATAAATCAAGCTGATGAGTTGAGTATTCTTAGAAACGAGCGGCCATGTTGAAAATTGGAAATCACTGATTTGCAGAGTAACTTGAAGTCGAAATAGTTCTGATGATGATTTTAGATCCATGCTGGTTCGCTTAACGGCTGTAAAATAAAATTGTAAGTATTTAAATAATTTCTTGACGGTACAGTACTTCTACATAGCGTGAAAACCTAAGACACGATGAAAATTACTGCTGAAAAAAATGTATAACTCTTAAGCGGCCATTTTTTTACGATCAGCCCTTATCAAAGAAGAGCGTCGTTTAGTTTAAAAGATTAAACAATAAAACAGCATTACCAATAAAACGAGGTAAAACGGTTTAAAA